GATCTGGCACGGTCGGTAGGGGGTGCTAGGGGAGGTCACGGCACCCCAGGCCCCGTCCTGCCACAACTTCCTCTTTTTGGTTAGGTCTGATCCTACTCCTCTTGAAAGTCTTTATGCTTTTTCTCTGATTTCACTGGGACTCGGATTAAATGTTTTTGTGTCATTCAGCCCCACTTTGGGTATGATTCTCCTGAAGCAGTTTTTCACCAAAAAAAAAAAAATCATTGTAGCTATTTCTGAATTTCATTGGTATAACTGAGACCAAAATCAGAACTACACAGTTCTTACCAAGGAAAAGAGTTCACAGGTTTCATTGAGAAGCAACATTGGATTATATCATTATAAACTGTGTCATAATGTACCTGTATAAAGGGACAAAGTTAAGTGGTGCCAGCAACTGTCATTTTAGCACAGGGGTAGGCAACATTTTTCAGATGGAGTGCTGAAAAACCACAATGTCCACCTTGTAAGGTGCTGGAGTGCCGGCATGCCACAAAAACAAAACTGCAGCGGAGGAGGTACATGGCAGGATGCACTGCATATTTAATACTATTAATAATCATTAATGTTGCTTTTTTTATTTTAATTTTTTTTACAGTAAATAGAAAGCTGGTGTTAGGCGGGGAGTGTGAGCTGCCCCAGGGCTCCTACTTGGGCCACAGCAGGGGGGCCCAGCAGCACTGGAGGTGGGGGCCCAGCCGGCTCACTCATGTCTGCAGGGATAGGGCACAGACACCCTGCCCATGAAGGAACAGTGCCTGGCTGGGGCAGGATGCCGGGCCCGAGGGGCTCCTACTTGGTCTCCGTGTGTGCCAGGGACAGTGTGAGTAGGAGCTGCAGCCACAGGCTGTTCCCTAGGCTCTGGGAACAGTTGCCACAGCCAGTGCTTAGGGCTGAGCCAGATGGGAGCCTGCAGCACAGCAGCTCTGTGCAGTGCCTGCCCCAGCCCTGGACCATTGAGGGGAGCTGTGGGTGGGCAAGGCTGGGACCTGGGCAAGCTGAGGCAGCCACGGTGGCCGTTCCCAGGCTCCAGGGGGCTCCCACGGCCAGGCCCCTGCACCGGGGACTGCTCTGCCCTGCCTGCGCTGTGCCCAGCATGCAGAGAGGAAAGCTCCCTGAGCCCGGCATCCTGCCCCAGCCAGGCAGCATCCCCATGTGTGCAGGGTGGCTGCAGCCCATATCTGCGGTGTTGTGCAGACCGGGCCAAGCCCCACCACGGGTGCTGCTGGCCACCCCCACCTGCCTGCCCACCACAGCTCAAGCCTGCAGAGCCCCAGGGCAGCCCCCACTTCCCACCCAGCCCCCGCCTGCCTAAGGGCCCGACTAGGCTGGCTTGCCCACGGTGCCTCCCCCCACACTGCCCAGACCCTGTCTGACTGCCCAGCCCCAGCACTCAGCACCTCAGTGCTGCCCCAGGTGGGACAGGGCCTCTGCCTGCCTGGGCAGCTCCCTCCAGGGTGCAGCCTGGAAGCACAGGGCGGGGGCAGTAGAGCACAGAGAGCCTTCCTGCCTGCCTTCCCCTGGCTCTGCCCTGGGGCCTGCTTCAGTGCTGTGACTTGTGGCTGCACAGGAGAGCCCGGAGCAGCAACTTTAAAAAACAAAAAAAAAAACCAAACAATTTATTTGTGTGCCTCCCAGTATGCCAGGAAAAATGTCTCTGAGTGCCACTAATGGCACATGCACCAGGGGTTGCCAACCCCTGTGTAGCAGGGCACTAAGGTGCCTGCTACTGGAGGCAGTATGATGAGCTCAGCTGCCAATCACCAGGGCAGCACAGGTGTGGGGTTGCTGTGACAACTGGTCTGGTCAGCTGACCAGAAGGGGGCAGGGCCTGGCCTTTATAAACAACATAGGCCAAGACCAGAGCCCAGTCCCCCTCTGGCTGCCAAGGACAATGGAGCTTGAGAAAACCCTGATGGGGAGATGCATGGAAGTAAGCCAGGTTGGCCAGGAATTTATGTTATAGCCCAGGGGTTTGTGTTCATGGTTTTAGTTGTTGTGACACGAGAAGCATGGTGTTACACCGGAGGTTTGGGTGAGGCTGTAGGGGTGGAGGAGGCCTCAACAGGAACCCCCCAGTAAGGTGGGGGGTGCTCCGAGCGCCAGGGAGGGCGCTGTAATGGGCGTGAGAAGCACGGGTAGGAGCCTGGTGCGGGCTATGCGGGCACGGGGAAGAGACCCCGGTGCAGGCTATGCAAGCACAGGGGAGAGGCCCAGTGGGCGAGGGCGCGGGAAGCACGGTGCGGGTGTGGGCACGAGAAGTGCGAGTGCGAGAAGCACGAGC